AATTAACATGCTCTGATGCTAAGGAGTTCTACTCCCCCTCCCCACCTGAGCAGAACTCTGTTCCAACTGCCAGTTGCCTCACATTCTGTTACCTCAATTCAAATTGGCAGACATTCCACTTAGGAGCAGTCTGGGGCTCCTTACAGCACTAAATGTTAGTACCTCACACAAATGTCTACGCTTTCCACCTATGGGACTGCTTCCGGACTCAAGGCAGTGGGAACAATATTCTCTTATTTGTTTCAATCACTGACCACCACTGAGCCAAGGGATTGAATTGGACTGAACCTGATTTCTCCTGCATTGTCCAATCACATAGTTTCAATGTCACATTAAAACCATCACCTATTGTATCCATGCTGCCTGTCAGGCACAAAGGATCAAGACCACACATGTTAATTTGCAGTTCAGAAAATTTATTGCTGAAGCCTATATACAAGAATTTAGTTAACTAAAGTTCAATATTAAATTGCCACCAGATAAGGGTCAACAAAATTTAAGTGGGGTTGGACTTGAACTGTTTGTGGGAACGTAATGATTCTATGCTGACGACCTGCTTAACTCCACCCCTCAGTTCTGCCTGCTCTTCTTCTATACACTCCATTCTAACAGGGGGAAACAGTTTGGGTTGTCTAGTACTGAACTCTATTGTGAAAACTATGCTGACTTGTGGGACAAAATGGGACATTTAAGAGTCAGAAGATGGCTGAGAATATGAATGGAGGAAGAAAGCCATATTAAAGGGGAGGAGGGGAATCCTGTCTAAAATTGTATGAATAAATTACTATCTCTTACAACTTTCTAGTCAAAAGCAGAGATGAAACACTAACCAAATAAAATGGGGTGAGTTAAAATAGATGCCTGGAGCTAATCAAGTCCTTCAATACACTTACCTTTGGTCCTGGGGAACCATCTCTGCCTGGAGGACCATCTGAACCAGGATTACCCTGAGAACAAGAAGAGGGTAGTTATTTCTGAGAAAACCAGGAAGGTGCTTGTGCATCAGGGGTCTGGCAATTAATAAGGAGTTGGTAGCAGCAGCTTCTTCTAATGTAAAACTACATCTGTGATGACCTGATCCTTGAATTGGCCCTTACCACCTACTCATCTTAAACAGAAGGTCTCCTCTATCTTTTGGAAGTCAAACTAGAGCAAACTCTGGTTTGGTAAATGCCCATCTGAAATACATTTGTTATACACTAAAATGCTCCTCAGGGCTTCATGCTTTAGTTACCAAGCTTTAGCCTAAACTAACCAGCAATAGCAAACAAGGCACAGAACCAGAACTCCTTCCCAAACCCAAACCCAACCCCCTCACAATCTTCTAGCTTTCTGCAGCCCACTTCCCAAATACACCCTTTTAAAACGTTTTATAAGCTCTATTCGTAACTGCAGTTTCTATCACCTTTGTCATCTTATTTATCTACTGATGGTGATGGACGAAGGAATAAATTGAAAAGTCCTGTCTATTAGTCCGAACATCTGCTTCTTTGATGCTGTTATTATACCATTTCTAAAACTATTCTATCAGAAAACAAAAATGTTTCCATTGAGAAGATTGTGGATTATTATTTTTTTATATATATATAGTGTATATGTATATATACATATAGCAATAAGAGCAATTGCTTTAAATTAGTATCTGGGTGGACCATGAGAGAAGGTATGAACCAAGCCCTCCCCAAATCCAGCTGTCAGATTGTGCCAACCTCCACAATATTTTGCCATCAGCTTCCTTGTCCTCTATGGTTCTTAATATGAGCATCTGCCCCAGTGGTGGGATTCAGCCAGTTCACACCTATCCGGGAGAACCGGTTGTTAACTTTCTAAGCAGTTCAGAGAACCGGTTGTTGGAAGAAATCTCCTTTTGTTTTTTTCCCCACTTTACAGGGCTAATCCTGTAAGGAAGGCAGGAAGGAAACATTCTGGTGTTGTTTCTAGCCTAATCTTTATTGCCCTGATTACAGAAACTGCCTCTCCGGTTAACACTTATTACATTGTAACAACTAAAGCGAAACGGCCATCGATGTGAGTCATGTTGAGTTGGCCATGCCCACCCAGTCACATGACCCCCGAGCCACGCCTACCCAGCTGGTCATTAGGGCAGAGAACCGGTTGTCAAATTATTTGAATCTCACCACTGATCTGCCCTCTTTCAGAGGGGAGATGTAGGCTTTTAATTATTGTTTGATTCTGCATTAAATCCATTCACCAGGAGGAACTTTCAATAAAGGTCAAGACTCAAGGAATAAATATGTTTGGAAACAGGACATATGCTCATCAAGAACTTGGGGATGACTATATCAGATACTCCTTGAATTCTGAAATATTGCATTTAGTGTTATGCTGTGGTCACATTATCGGCTGCCATCATGCCTAGTCATTAAATAATTCAGCATAATGGGGAAGGATAAATATTTACTTAAATATATTCTCTTGAAAGGAAGTGTCCCTCACAAATTCAGCCTGAGAAACCAGAAATGCATCTTTTGTATTCCAGACAGGAAACATGCCTGGATTAATTAGACTCACCTCACGGCCAGGTTCACCAGAGGGACCAGTCAAGCCAGGTGGACCAACTGGGCCAGGTGGGCCTCTATCTCCTGGACCTCCAGAAGCTCCTTGTTTACCAGGTTCACCCTGGGGGAAGAAAACCAATTTTAAGTAGGCAGAAGACTAGTTGTTGACAGTAAACTGGACAAGGCAAAGTGAAAAACCTCAGTCGATTTTCCCTCAAAATTAAGTAGTTGAGCTAAAAATTGTTTGCCCAATTTTACTCCATAATCATGATGATGCGAAACCTATTTAGTGCAAGGTTGGTTTGTGAGTTTTAAAACTTAGATGAACTGGAAATTCCCAGAAAAATCTGGCAGAATTGTGAGAGCAACTGATAATGTTTTTTATTTGAGCAATCTCCAATATCCCAATAAAATACTATTTCCTCACCATTTATTTCATGCAACAAATCACTCCCTCATATAGCCAGTTATTTCTTTTTGACTTTTCTACACAGTGTTTGGGTTAGAACAGTTCACTCTAAGAGATTGAATAGGCAGCGACTTGTGCTGTTTAGCAAACCTGGAAAAAATAAAGCCCCTTCTTGATTCTGCTGACAGAATCAAACCAATTAATGGGGGGGGGGGAAATCTGATTCCAATCTTCTTTAGGACAGTAATTTTCAGACATGGGATGAGAGATAATTCATCTCAAGATAAGAATTAGACCTTGCACTTTGTCCTGACATGACAAAACATGGGTTTTGTTTTCATATTCGGTAAGCAAAGAAAGTCAGAAGATAGATTTATTACACTTGTATAATTTCTCATTCATAAAATTTCTCTTTTCTTATTCAACATTTTAAAATTCTTCATTCCCAAGAGGCCGAATGCAGAGAATGCAATCGATACAGTTCTCACAGATGCTGTGGTGCCATGTTGAAGGGATACAAGCCAGACTATGGAAAATCAACAGAACACTTGATAAATAGCAGCTTAAGATTACCACTGCATTCATGTTGGAAGCGCTACCAAGGTGCTTCTGGATTGAAAGGATTATAACCAGTGACATCGCAATTGCCCAGGGGATGGCTGAGGGGGCTCTTTTCGTGTCCCCAGTATCTTCCCACCGAAGTGGTACTTGTTTATCTACTTGCATTGCATGTTTTTGAACTGTTGGATGGACAAAGTAACGGGAACTTATTCCGTCACGCGGCTTGCTCTCGGGTTTCGAACCACGAAACTGCCAACTTCTCAATGGTCTTTTGACTCAACATCTATCCATATGAATCACCATGGCCCCTTTAGCTTAACACTCAAAACATTAAAAATTATTATTGATTATTAACCTACTATGAATTTTGTAAAAAAAGTGACAAAAAAAATTGGACATCTCCCAAATTCAGAAGCTGGGAAATGGGATGAGCGTATATTGTACACTTTTTGATGTATATTTTTCAAGGTCATTAGTACCGAAGGTACTTACGGAAGGCCCAGGCAGACCAGGAAAGCCTCTTTCACCTCGCTGACCGGGAAGACCAACTATTCCTCTCTGTCCTGCCAAACCCTGAGGTCCAGGTGGGCCATCTGCACCCTGACAAAAGGGGAAAGAAAGACAGAATGAATTTGCATCAGAAAGAGCCACAGGCAGAGTCAGTAACTTGCACAAGACCACCAGCTGAATACCTACAGGAGGGCCATCTTCTCCAGATTCTCCCTTCTCGCCTCCAGGACCAGGAGGTCCTTGCAAACCTGGATCACCAGTACGTCCAACTGGCCCTGCGTCACCACGGGCGCCCTTGGGACCATCTTTTCCAGAAGCACCAGGTGGGCCTGGGGAACCAGGGTTACCCTGGAAAGAAAGAAAAAGCAAATACAATCCTGGGTGGTATAAACAGATGCATAGAATCAAGATCACCTGAAGTATTGGTATCGCTAATAGTAAAGGCCTTAGTAAGACCACACCTGCAATACTGAAACCAATTTTGGTCACCAGTGCCAGAAGTGGGTTCCTACCAGTTCACACCTATTCAGTAGAACCGGTTCGTCAAATCTACCGAACCGATTAGAAGAGGTTCCACCAATGGATCCAGAAAGCAGGCCACTCCTGCAGAAGAGATTCCAAACTTTTTTGAAACCCACCACTGATCCTTGGATATGATTATTCTACACTGTCATGCTCATATTTATAAAACTCAGTGCCTCTGTGAAAGATAAGGATGGCTACTGCGTTTGTGGTGCAATCAGAACATTGTGTGTGTTGAAGTTGTTTTAATGCAAACCAAAGATGCCTTTTAAAAAANAGAGCTCCTGGGGGCTGGGGAAGGCAGAAATGAACAAAAAAATTTGCTCAATTTTGCCCCCCCCCTCAGCCTCCAGGAGCAGTCTATAAGCTTCCTAGTGCCCTTTTTTTGACAAAAATGGGCCCGTTTTTGCAAATAATGGGCCGTTTTTTGGTCGTTTTTGCCCCCCCCCCCAGGAACACTCTACAAGCCTCCTAAGCGCTATTCATGCCTTTTTTTTTGAAAAAAACCAAAATGGGCTCATTTTTGCGAGGTTTGCAGAGTGCAAAAATTTTTTTTTTTAAATTTGACTCTTCAAAACCTTGGTGCATCTTATACTCCGGTGCATCTTATATTCCGAAAAATATGGTATTTCCTGAATGGCCACAAAACTAATATATGTAGTTGAATTAAATGTTCTCTTTACTTCTGAAACTTTTCTTTTCTTGGATTTATTCATTGTTGGCATATTTTAAGTGTTGCAGCTGCAGCAGAGGGATGAAAGAGCCACATGCGGCTCCAGAGCCGCGGGTTGTTAACCTCTGCCCTAAACTAATCAACATCAAGCATTCAGAGCCTGCGATTTTATGTTTCGATCAAATTTTGTCATTCTTGGGGGAAAAATATGAAATTCTGCAAATCATAGCATCATCATGTCTGATGAATTAAGAGTCTGTGCAGCAGATTGAATACCCATCAAACGATGGGTGGCTTAAGCGTTCATGAAATTAGCTCTTCTGAAGTACCCTGTTGATTGTACTTACCCTGGGACCAGAGGGACCACTGGGACCAGATGTACCTTGATCTCCAGAAGGACCCTAAGGAATAAAGGAAAACAGCTGCATGGTTAAATCTGAATTTTGTGCATTATAGTTTCTCTGCAGAAGAGCCCAAGTGGCCTCTACAACATGTAGCTTGCCTCCTTATGATCTTTGATTCATTGACCTCTGGGCATGAACTAGGATGTAAGTGATTCTCTATGCACCTNTGACTATTTCCTGAGCATCCACAGAACTAACATATGTGGTTGAATTAAAGGTTCTGTTTTCTTCTGAAACTATTCTTTTCTTAGATTTATCCATGGCCTACTGGGGGGTTGAAAAGCTCAATAAATCATGTGCTGGCTAGTGTCGCACATTGGCACTGGTGACACACATTTTGCGTGTCAGGGAGCGCAGCAGAGTGATGAAAGAGCCACATGCGGCTCCAGAGCCGTGGGTTGCTGACCCAATAACATGAGATAACTGGAGACAGGAGGACCAGCAGACGTCTGGCCTTGTGAAAGTACTACTCATCCCTGATACTGGGATCAATCTGCAAAAATAACTTTTTCAGTTTTCTAACTGGGAAATATCTGATGCTTCCAAGCATCCCCAATCGCAATTACTGACCTATAATAGTCGGAAATCTATTTTTGATAAATTGATCCGTGTTGTGAAAAAGAGTACATATTTTCAGAAGTTCAAAAAGAAGGGAAAGTACATACACTTCCACCTATATCCAAAACAAGGATGTAGCCAAAAAGAATCTTCTGGGAGATGTAACAACTATTGCTTCTCATCCTACTTCCTTCTAGAAGGCAGAGATGACTAACAGCATTGATCAGCCCTTCCTGTAATGTGCTGAAAAGATCCATATGGAGATATGGAGACTTAGAGATGTCCAACATCCAAGTCTCTTTGTGAAGTCTGAAGTTAGAGCAGGCAGCTGATGAAACTCCCATCCCCACCCCATGAATTCATCCTGATAAATGGAGGTGATGGACCAGACTGTTAATATTTAATAACTGTGAACATTTCTCAGGGCTTAAAAGATATTGATAGATTGTCCTACTCCCTTTTTTACCCTTTATGATGTGCTGGATAATTATATATTATTCTATTGTTTTGTATAAGGCTCTGGGGGAGGGAGGGGTTGTACTGTATCTGTTACTAATTACAGGTTGGAATTAAAATTAGCCCTTTTTGGATATTGAAATAAATGGAGACGTTGGTCATATGGAACTAAAATTCTGTTTGTTTCAATGGGTCACACAAGGTTTGATTCTAACCTTTTGAGTGCATTTCCCTAACCTTTTCCAAGCTGGAGAATGACATATTGAGTTTTAGCAGGTAGGTAAATATAGAAGGAAGCGGTGGCTCAGTGGCTAAGACGCGGAGCTTATCGATCAGAAAGGTTGGCAGTTCGAAACCCTAGTGCCGCGTAACAGAGTGAGCTCCTGTTACTTGTCCCAGCTTCTGCCAACCTAGCAGCTTGAAAGCATGTAAAAATGTAAGTAGAAAAATAGGGACCACCTTTGGTGGGAAGGTAACAGCGTTCAATGCGCCTTTGGTGTTTAGTCATGCCCGCCACATGACCATGGAGACGTCTTTGGATAGAGCTGGCTCAGGCTTTGAAACAGAGATGAGCAATGCCTCCTAGAGTTTGGAACAACTAGCACATATATGCGAGGGTAACCTTTACCTTTAAATATTCATGGTGCCCATTTCATTTCAATGCTAGAAAATTCGACCAACACCTATTTTCTTCTAGTCATATAACAGTGCTCTGTCCGCTATCACAATCCGTGGTATACATATATTATTCATGTAGGAATGGTGAGTGTATGATTCATTTTATTTTGTTTTTCTTAACAGGGAATTCAGAGCTTTACGATTTTTTGGGGGGAGAGGGATACCAATTAAAGACTATATAATTGAAAAAAATGCTTAGTTTATGCTTACAGTTGGCTAGAACTGGTAGCATCACTTTACAAACTAATATCAGCAATGCTTTTAAGAAAATGTTGGTGCTCAACTAAATCTTACCACACAAGGGAGCTGACAATAGGAGAAAAACCTAGCATTGTCCCTTATCTGTGGGAGTGGAAAGGCAGTATTCTTTCTTCCAAAACGCACATCTCCTCTCTGGTATATAAGCAAAGGTGGTATTGTACCAGTTCAGACCGGGTCACCTGAACGGTAGCGGAAATCATGGGTGGCCCTGCCCACGTGCCCTAGCTCTACGGCATTCCATTTAGGCCCTTTTTTTTGCCAAAAGTGCATGTGTGGACGGCGTGCGCGTTCACATTTGCGAACCGGTAGAGTGAATACCCTTTATATAAGGCTTAATCATGAGTGTTTTGTTATTTCTGTTTTCTAGTGCAAGTTAGCATGAATACTGGAGATATTTAAGCAGTAACCCTATAGCTAATTTGATTTTACAAAAGGAAGATATAAAGTTGAGGCCCCGGTCGATCAAATTCAGACTCATAGACAAAACCAAGAATAATCAGATCAACTTGTTACTTTCCAACGAAGGTTTTTATATCAATTGATGTTAAAAAATACAGACTTGTTTTAACAATAATAGCACCATCTTTAGTATCGTACACAGTAATCTTGCTTTGATACGCACTTGGAATGGAGTGGGGAGAAGATTTGGCTACAACCAGGATTGGGGGACATCAGCAACTTGGAGGGAAGGACCCTTCATATATGCTTGTGAGCTTCCTATCACCACCTGACCCAAGAAAGGCCCTCTAGGAAGACAATAAATAAATAATACCATTATTAGTTGTTCCTTCCTTCCTTTCTTTCTTATGCTGGCTTTGTGATCTACTCAAGCAATGATGGCCACAGAAAATGATAAGAGTCCAAAAATGTAAGCAAAAAGGTATTGGGGGAGGGGAGGGAGCGGGAGGAGTTTGGTTCAGCCATTCAGTGCAGAAGTCCTAAAAGTGATTGGGAAGTACTTGGATTGGTAAAAAAATATTGATTTTAGGGTTGGTTCTCCTTTTACAAAAAGCATACGGGGCCAATGTCAACACCAAATTCCTGATCGGCGCCACCAATGTCCATAGGCGCAATGTCAATGATGGGCAGGCGCGAAGTCTTCTGAGATCGGTACTCGATGATTGTCTTCCCCCACTTGCCGGTATGTTTCTGGAATGGTGAAAACAGACACACACAGACATTACTCGGATGCATTACTTCAAGATCTTTGTACTCCAGTTTCAATGAGGTGCTTAGATAATAAAGAGGCATGGCATGCTTAGACTGACCGTATCTACTTTCAAAATCAGTGGAATTTTATGGCAGCATCAATATTTGAAAAATCTGAATGGGGAATTATGATGTCCTGTTTTTCTTGCAATGTAGCGGAAAAGAATAGAACAACAGAGTTGGAAGCGACCTTGGAGGTCTTCTAGTCCAACCCCCTGCCTAGACAGGAAACCCTACACCACTTTAGACAAATCCAAGATCTTCTTTAAAAACTTCCAGTGTTGGAGCATTCACAACTTCTGGAGGCAAGTTGTTCCTCTGATTGATTGTTCTCTCAGGAAATTTCTCTTTAATTCTAAGTTGCTACTTCTGAAGGGTGACGTCATGTAACCTGCTCATGGATCTGGTGTGGGATTCTAGAAGATTATGGAATTCTAGAAGATCAGAATCTAATGTTCTCTTGAATACTTATATTTTCAGTCAGAGTGGGTTGATTGAACACCTATACTTTGTCTGCTCTGATGAATACAATTATGTTGTGGCAGATTTCAAATACTAGAACAAATCTCTGGCTTTATGTACTTTTGACTCCTTTTTGGTAATTTGGGCAAGACAAAATATGTAATATGGTCAACAGAAGCTCTCCCTACAGAACTGGATTCCCAAATTGTCTTTCTTTCCTTTTAATCTGATATCCTCTAGTATAACTTGCCCAATACAGGTAATCCTCAGTTTACAATCGTAATGGGAGCCTGGTTTTCATCGTAAATCATGACAGTCATAAGTCAAGGCACCCACGTAACTTACAATTCAATTTTGCAACCTTTTTGTGGAAGTCGTTAAAGCGAATAACACTGTGTTCATTAACCAAATCAGGGCTTTCCTATGAGTGTTTTTTGCCAGACACCTGCTGAGGCGGCCAGTTTATGGCAAAAGCCATCATAAATTATGTCACATGACCACAGACCTTTGCAACTGGCTGCAAAGGCAAGGCAGTTGCCAAGCAACCAAGCTGTGATCATGTGACTGCTGAGGGTGTGCTCAGTAGTTGGAACCCTGGAGCCAGGTTGCAAGTACCTTTTGGGGTGGTTTCTGTCAAAAACGGTAAGTAGCTAGTCATTAAGGAAGGGCTTTTACCTTAATGACTAGCTACTTACCATTTTTATTTCAAAGTAGCTGATAACCCGGCATTGCCCAGGTATTTATTTATAGGGGGAAAATGTCCGGACCAAATGTAATTTCTAATGTTCGATTTTCCCTCTTACCAGAGGGAGCCCCCTTGTAGAGTACTGTGAAGCCGTTACTGAAGCAACTCCACTGCGCTGCACAGTAGAAGCCATTTTAAGGCAGTACAGTAGAAGCCATTTTAAGGCACAACAGGCTGTTTCTTAACAGAATACCTCCCAGAGGGGCGTTAGGGGTGTCTCTCCCCCCCGTATTTTTGTCCAGAGAGTAAGTCATCTGTGTACCAAGTTTGGTTGAAATTGCTCAAAGCATTCTAGAGTTATGCTGGAACACACACCCATTTTATATAGAGAGAGATATTAATCCGTTAGTATAGCCCATAAGAGCAGACCATGAGTGCAATTTCGTCTCTTTGAAATGCAACTTTTTATGTTGGAAGTGTGAACTCAGGGGCACTGATACCTCAGCATACCTGACCACAAGCACGCCACAGATCGTAGACCTAGATTTAAGATTTACACTGTCATTTCCATATGTCTGTCACTCTTTATCTAAGAAATGTCTAATCTGAGATCTTCTGACTGCAAGCCTTCTAACTTTTTCCCCTGTACATGTATACAGAGCACACATGTTCTTTCAACTACTCCTGGTGGGCTTGCTAGGTGTGAGGCTTTCCCTATCCCTAGGATGAATTTCCTAGGAGGATTAAAACCGTCATTCTGTTTTGGCTATAGAGCTTGCATCACAAAAAAATAAAATAAAAATCCCTACTCAGGTATCCTCTCATACATACTCAGAATGATCCAGTTGCAGAAAAATATAACAACTGGCTACTTGGCTGAAATGGAAATCTCTGTTACTCTCTTTGATCAGCAAGCTAAGCCTGGTACTATCACTATGATCTCTTCCCCTTGAATCAAACAACTGTGCGATATTTGTATTTACTTTCTTGGTAGTAATTAGCCCAATGTTACGTAAATAAAATAAAGTAATATCATCAAGACCACAGCTCAAAAATTATTTTAGAAATGTGTAAAACTATGATTGGACATTTGCTTTACGTGGGCGATACTCCTTCAATTTCTTCCCACTTTATGCTCTCCCGAATGAGGGTGTTATGCCACCCAATTAGGCAGAAGAACCCCAATAAATAATTTAGAATAATAGGGATAAGGAGGGGACCTTGGAGATCTTCTAGTCCAGTGGTTCCCAAACTTGGCAACTTTAAGACTTGTGGACTTCAACTCCCAGAATTCNGGTCACATGGGCGGCAAGCCACTCCCATCCAGTCACATGGGCGGCAAGCCACCCCCACAAAGAAGGCCACACCCACAGAGTAGGTTCGAACAATTTTTGAAACCCACCACTTGTCACCACATTACAAAAGTGCAGAGAAGATCAAAGGCTGGAGGCCTAAAACATGAAGAATGGCTGCAGGATTTAGGTTTGGCTAATCTAGGGAAAAAAAGAACTAGGGGTGACATGAAAACAGTATTCTACTATTTGACGGACTGCCACAAAGAAGAGGTTAACTTATTCTCCAAAGCACCAGAAGGCAATGCAAGAAACAATGAATTTGGAAACTAATCAAGGAGAGAAGTAATCTGGAATTAAGGAGAAATTTACTAACACTGAGCACAATTAACAGTGGAACAGCTTGCCTCCAGAAATTGTGGCCGCTCCATCACTGGATGATTTTAAGAAGAAACTAGACAGCCACTTATCTGAAATAGTATTGGTTCTCCTGCTTGAGAAGGGGCTGGACTAGAAGACCTCCAAGGTCCCTTCCAGCTCATTCATTCTAAATCATAAATCATCTTAATAAAAAAATGTACATGAGTTGGTGTGGTTTGAGGAATCAAGCAACCGCCGCAAAGACTGATATCCTATATAAAAATGAATGCCTTTCAGAGAAAACACAAATCTATCTTGCGTAGAAAAGGATGAGCAGCTGTTTGTTTATGGGTTATTATGATTTGAGGTGGCTTATATTGAAAGTTGGGATTTTTCAAAAGAAAGGAAGGAAGGAACAATACTCTCTTCAAAATGTGTAGTTCTCTATTTGTCTAAAATCCAATAGAACCCAGCAATAAGGATGGATTCCTGGAAATGCCATTTTCTTGCTGGAAGCTCATAGGTGTGGCTTTTCATAGAATCACAAAAGCTATCCAGCCTACAGTTTCTCTTTTATAACATGACCTTGCATACTTCTTCCATCCTCCTAATTCAGCAAGTGATACTTCGGTCCTTAAGAGGGATTGATTTTTTTTCTTCTCTATGATGGGCTCATCTGAAAGTCAGTGAAAATTGTTTCTGAAGTGTATTCTGTAGCTTTCATCGTTGCCATGCAACCCAGAACTCGGATGGCTGGAAAGTCTGAGGGAGCCCAACTAGCAGATACACCTTTTGTAACAGGGGTCAGGAGAGAGAATGGCATTTGGCACTCTTTTTCAGTGCTACAACTCCCTCTACTGATAAAAAAAAAACCCACAATGTTTTTTTTCTCTGAAGAAAAGCCAGGGAAGAAAAACTCATCAGAATCAATTGGAACTTTGCAACCAATATATTTAAATATATGAATATATCATTTCTCCTCCTTCAATATTTTGAAGCCGAGGTGCCACAGTGGTTAAATGCAGCACTGCAGGCTACTTCAACTGACTGCAGTTCAGCAGTTCAGCTGTTCAAATCTCACCGGCTCAGGGTTGACTCAGCCTTCCATCCTTCCGAGGTAGGTAAAATGAGGACCCGGATTGTTGGGGGCAATATGCTGANAATTCTCCAGCCAGCAGAGCTGGCTGGAGAATTCTGGGAGTTGAAGTCCACAAGTCTTAAAGTTGCCAAGTTTGGGAACCACTGTTCTAGTCCAAACCCCTGCTCTGGCAGGAAGCCCTGTACCATTTCAGACACGGCTGCTTTCTTTCTACTTACGGTACTTCTATCAATACCCCCAATACATGATGAGTGATTCCTTTCTACTTACAGTACATCCATCCTGCAAGGCAGTGTAGGTAAACCTGCTATTGCCCTCGGCTCTCATCTCCACGTCGTTGGATCCCTGAATCAGGAGAGCTTTCTTAAGATTGCCGGCTGTGTCATCCATGTAGGCAATGCTGTTCTTGCAGTGGTAGGTAAGATTCTGTGAGCCTTCAGAAGACAAGAGCCGCAGGAAAGTCATCTGGATGTTGGCAGTGTTAGGAGCCAGGCTGTCATCTCCGTAGCTAAACTGGAAAAGGAGAAGGGAAAGCCATTAGGACATGGAAACACGTGATGGCCAAGAGAAAAGCATGGTGTCAGCGTTTAGCAATAGCACGTAGACTTATATACTGCTTCACAGTGTTTTACAGCCCTCTCTAAGCGTTTACAGAGTCAGCATCCTTGCCCCCAACAATCGGGGTTCTCATTTTACCAATCTTGGAAGGATGGAAGGCTGAGTCAACCTTGAGCCGTTCAGGATTGAACTGCTGCACAGCTGGCAGTCGGCAGTCAACTGAATTAGCCTACAATACTGTGTTCTAACCACTGCGCCACCACAGATCATGAACATCACTGTGACAAATGAAGGTAAATTGAAAAGGAAGTTGCTGAAGGTGGGGAGAGAAACCAACATTTGAAGCAGGCCAATTCTTCCGATGTTCCCCCCTCAGGTGTATCCGTTGTCAGTCCTTCACTTCAGGAGTCCCCATCTTAATATATATAGTACCGGGACTATTGTGGTAAAGGTAGAATCTTCTTCAGTCAGGATTGAACTCCAAGCTGTCAGCAGAGTTAGCCTGCAATATGGCATTCTAACTATCATTAGAATTCCTCATTTTTGGGTGGCAGGAATAAAAAAATGATGAAGAAGGCATTTGGGTGGCAGGAACCAAAATTATCCAAACCATCTTTGAGCCTGGTGAGATTTAATCTGCCAAACTGTTAGCAGCCGGTGATCAGAAGAAGTAGCCTGCAATATTGCACTCCAACCACTGCACCATTATGGCTCACTCAATTTCAAGTAATTCACCCATAGAAATTAGAACAAACAGGCAGGCAGATTCCTCAAAGGACAGTTTTATTAGATAGATCATATTGGCACAACTGGTGAAAGCCAACTCTAAAACTTCCCACAGCTTTCATCTAATTAAAAGTAAATGTTTCCCCTACCCCAACCCCCAAGTCACTGATCACGCTGTCCAATCCAGGGGCTGGCCGGTTCCTTGGTTACTTACCCCTCCTCTGGCCAGCCACCTGTGGGAATGTCCTTGGGTTCCCACAGGAAAGTTTTATTGTTTTGGCTACAAACCCCATCTAACTATCCCCCACTCGCCTCCGTTGTGTGGCAGCCCTGCAAGATGGCCTCAGCCATGATCACTTCAGGGTTGACACATGGAATCAAGGCTATGCAATTCAGGACTCTTCCTTAACACAGTGTTACAGAAAAACGGCAGTTACTAAGCAAAGTTGTGTTTGCTAACCCAGAAAAGCTGAGAAAGGGAACTGGGATGCTCACAATGTTGAAATGTTTGTTTAAATGTTTATTCCATTTGTATGCCGCCCTATTCCCGAGAGACTCAGGATGGCTAACAAGCAGGGGGGAAGGGGAATACAAACAAAAACAAAAAACAGGCAAGTTAAAACAGAGCAACAGTTGCAACAGTTTAAGTGGGGCCGGGAACTCATCAGCCCCAGGCCTGCCGGAACAGCTAGGTCTTAGTGGCTTTGCGGAAAGCCGGAAGGGTGGTGAGGGTCCAGATCTCCACGGGGATATCGTTCCAGAGGGCCGGAGCAGCCACAGAGAAGGCCCTCCCCTGAGGGGTCGACAGTCGACATTGGCTAGCAGATGG